GAGAATTGTGGGATCAGGATTGGTGGAAGATCTATTAACAATCTGCGTTATGCAGATGACACAACCCTGCTTGCTGAAACCGAGGAGGACCTCATGCACTTGCTGTGGAGGGTCAAGGACTGCAGCCTTCAGTATGGACTGAGGCTCAATGTCAAGAAGACAAAGATTCTCACCAGTGGACCAATTGGTAGCATCGGGATGGATGGCGAAGAGATTGAGATTGTTCACAGCTTCAGTTTCCTCGGCTCCAAGGTCAACATTCTTGGCACCAGCATCAGGAAATCAAAAAACGTATTGTGATGGGAAAGTCTGCTGTTAATGACCTCTCTAAAGTACTGAAGAGCAATGGTGTCTCTCTGGAGACTAAGGTGAGCCCAAGACAGGCCATGGTCTTTGCAATCACTTGTTATGCATCAGAGAGTTGGACAATGACTAGGGAGGACAGAAGGAGAATTTATGCCTTTGAGCTATGGTGCTGGAGAAGAGTATTGAATGTACCATGGAATGCCAAGAAAACAAACAGATTCACCCTAGAGAGGGTTAAACCAAGCTACTCCTTGGAGGTAAGGATTCTGGGGCTTCGTCTGACATACTTTGGACATGTTGCAAGGAGGGCCAGGTCCTTGGAGAGGGACATCATGCTTGGGAGAGTGGAGGGACGGTGCAAGAGGGGAAGACCCTCTATGAGATGGACTGATTCAGTGACTGGGGTAGTTGGGATGGGTGTGTCAGAGGCGGTGTGATTGGCATAGGATAGAGCAGGGTTTAGGGCTGTTGTACATAGGGTCGCTATGAGTCACAAACGACTTGACGGCACATAACAACAACAACAACAAAAACCACAATCTGTAGAAAACTCAAGAAAGATCCACACCTCACTCCATACATAAGAACCAACTCAAAGTGGATCACGGACCTAGGACCAAAACCAAGGACTATAAATTTCATTGAAGAAAAGCTTGGAAGAACTCTAGAAGTCCTAATCGACAACATAAACAGTCTTCCAAGCATCCTGGAAAATCTAAAACCAGGAGAGGATAAAAAAGATGAATGAGACCTTCTAAGAATCAGATCCCTATGCATGTTTAAAAGCTTCTCCCAAAAGAGTAAAAAGGGAAGCCACAGATTGGGAAAAAATACTTGGTAATGACATGTCAGATAAGGGACTTATATCTAGAATTTTTAAAATACATGCGCACCACAAGGTAAATAACACAACTGAAAAATGGGCACAGGATATGAACAGACACTTCACCGAAGAAGACACTCAGATGGCAAACAAATGCATGAGAAAATGCTCAAAATCCCTAGCTCTAAGAGAGATGCAAATCAAAACAACTATGAAATATCATCTCACCCCAGTCAGAATGGGAAAATTTACCAGAATAGCAAGCAACAAATGCTGGCGAGGTTGTGGAGAAACTGGAACCCTTATTCATTGTTGATGGGAGTGTAAAATGGTGCAACCACTATGGAAGGCTGTATGGTATTCTCAAAACCTTGCAAATAGAAATACTAGCAATACCACTACTGGGAATATACCCTAAAGAAACTGTAACTGCCATCCAGGCAGATATATGCACACCTATGTTTACTGCATCTCTGTTCACAATAGCAAAGAGTTTGAAACAACCTAAGTGCCCATCAACAAACTAATGGATAGAGAAGCTGTGGTATATTCACACAATGGAATACTACAATGCATTGAAAAACAAGGAACTCATGAAATATTATACAAAATGGGTGACCCTGGAGGACATTATGCTGACAGAAATATCTCAGTCATAAAAGCACAAATACTGCATAGTGCTACATGTTGTACAATGTACAATCAGGGTTGGAGTGAGACTGCGAAAGATTGGATAAACTTTGTATACTGCATTGAAACAGATGAGGGAGAGAACTGTTTTAAATCGATATATGATTGGGTATTATGGTTATGACAAGAGTCCAGAATGAAGGCTGAATAGTGGAGCGTACTTGGTGGGGGGAGTGGGGGAGGAGTATTGTATACCAATGAAAGAATTTTTCTTTTACTTTTCAAAGAGAAGAGCGAATTGGAAGGGAGAGGTCGGCAGGGAGAAAATGCAATAATGAATGAATGAATGGAAATCCAAAATCTTTGTAAACGTTCATTAACATTAATAATAATAATACTAATAAAATAAAAAATATTTTTAAACAACAACAAAAAAATTCAACCCTCTTAACATAAGCAGTCAGGAAATCAAAAGATGAATTGCATTTGGAAAATCTGAGGCCATGGACCTCTCCAGAGTGCTGAAGAGCAACGATGTCAGTCTAGATACAAAGGTGCACCTACTCCAGACCATGGTCTTCTCAATTGCTTCTTAGGCTTCAGAGAGTTGGACAATTACTAAGGATGACAGAAAAAGAATAGGTGCCTTCGAGTTGTGGTTTTGGAGAAGAGTCTTGAATATACCATGGACTGCCAAGAAAACAAATAGGTTTGTCTTGGAGAGGGTGAAATCAAGTTTCTCTCCCTGGAGGCTAGGATTTTGAAGCTGCACCTCACTTACTTTGGCCACGTGGCCAGGAGAAACAGGTCCTTGCATGTCAGAAGGGGAAAGTGCAGGAGAGGAAGGTCCCGGATAAGATGGACTGATACAGTAACTGGGGCAATGGAGGTTGGTGTGTTAGAATTAGTGACACTGGCTCAGGACAGGGAAGGGTTCAGATCTGCTATACAAAGAGTCACTATATATCACAGAGAATTCAATGGCATATAACAACAATAACATAGTATGACAAGTTTGGAAGCAGGAGTGGTATCCACTTCCTAAACAACATGCATCCAAGGAACTCTATGAACTTTTATAAATGTCGATAGTTGTAGAGGTGCTTTAGGCCTTTTGTTCATAGGGTCATACTCGACTCAAAGGCAATCAACAACAACAACTATGATTCTTTTAGGAGTGTTTCTTTCATCTTCTTCATTTCTACCATTCACAATGATCCACTGCCTCTGAGGTAGAACCTACTCATAGCTGACCCTGCCACTGGGTTTCTGAGGCTGTAAATGATAATTGAGATCTTTCTCCTTGGGAATTGCTGGTGGATTCAAACAGGCAGAGAGGTGAGGGCTCTGGGTTAGCAAGGGAACTCCCCGTAGGCTATGCCACACAGCACCCTCTAATCTCTCTCAAAGAATGTACATTTGCAGTCATATTTAAAGCCAATCAACTGCTAGTGGAAAACTATACATTCAAACATGACAAGTGAAAATGTTCAAAGATTAAAATGTACTTTTTATAATTTTGAAAACAAGTTTAAAAAATCCAAACAGTTAAGAGAAAAATCATCTGCATTCCTATTTATAGGTCTAAAATTTTTACAGATATCTGGAAAAATAGAAACTTTTAGTAAAAACTGTCATTTACAATTTTATGAGATTTAAGGAAAAGTAATCATCACACGCTACAGGAAGATATATAAAAATATTTATCCTTTAAACTAATTGTTTATCACATAGGTGAGGTGCACTGACTTTTTCTTGAACAGCTGGCTGAAGGTTCTGCACCTTTCCAGAACCTTGTAACGACTGCCAAATGTTGCAAAATTCATCATCTTCTTTAGTAGGTACCTGGAAAAACATATACACACAAATTCATAAGATACAAATCAGAAAGAAATATTCCTATGAAGAAGAAAATAATTTATTCTATAGAGTTATAATACAACAGATTATTGTACATAACAGTATGCTATTGATATGAAACTAATCTTCATAGGCAACGTGAACTTAATTGTTTTATTATAAAGGTAATTCTAGGGTTGCACAATTTGGTGGGTGGAGGGAGGGCATAAAGGAAATGGGATAGATCCTCTGGGGATCTGGAAAGACTGCGTAATGGTGGGCATAGTTCAGTGGTGATTAATTTTTTATAAAACACAATGAATGGAAAGGATCATATGAAACACAAATGTGAATAAAGGGTAATGTCAAACACACACAAACATATCTGATTATAAAAATGTATTATTTGAAAAAAAAACACCCACCCCCCCCAAAATGTATTATTTGAGTTGAAAAATTTGCTATGAGGGGAAATTCTGGGGCTATACTGACCATTAGATTTGCCTCTCTGTTTACTAATTAATATGTTACTACAGTCAAACTAACATTTAAAGATTTAATTATAAAAATGTACATATTTAGTATCATCCACAGTGAGGACACTGTAGTCTAGGTTTCTTAAGGAAAAACAAAAGTATTTTTGAGTTGAAAAAAGTTGGTAAGAGGGAAAATTCTGGGGTTGATGGATTAAATAAAGTTAAATATATGAGAAATCAGAAAGCATAACTTTTGTCCTGAAACTATTTTATAATAGAATAAGAATGCTATCAAAAGCACTGGTTAGGCTATAGTAATTTAAATTAATTAAAAAAAATCTCAAATTGACTTTACTCAAACTTTCTAAGAAAATACAAGTAAAATTAAATTTTTAATGAGTAATTAGTCAATCAAGTTAATCAAGCTTATAAAGTATGCTTAAGATTTAGAAAAGGGTTGTTGTTAGGTGTCATCGAGTCAACTATGACTGCCAGTGACCCTCTGAAGGACAGATCGGAAGCCTGCACTGTGCCATCCCAGCAGCCTGGTCTCCATCCTGTTCAATCCCACTGCTGTGGTCACTGTGTCAGTCTCTTTCGGGGTCATCTTCTCCTTTGCTGACCTTTTACCATTTCCAGCGTGACGTTGTTTTTCAGGGATTGAACCCCCTGACAACATGCCCACATTTGTGAGCTGAAGTTTCACCATTCTTGCCTCTGAGGCACACTCTAGTTGCATTTCCTCCAGTATATATTCATTTGTTCAGGAGGGTAGAGAGATATTAAGACCTGAGGGTCTTACCTGAGTAGGAACAAAAAGTGATTGCGGGGAATGATTGAGGCCTCCCAAATGCCCAGATGAAACGGCTGAATTTGAGGTGTGCTGATTCACAGCAGGCTGTGGTTTCACGATGGCGGTCAGCTTCTGATTTCCTGTTTCGGTGCGACTCCCGTGAGAGAGGTTCACTAATGCACTCGTGGGTAGGCGATAGCCTCTACCAGGTGAGCACCTAAACGTAAAGGATCGCAATCAGAGGAAAGAATGCTAGGGAGCGAACTCTAACTCAACTCCGAAGAGCAGAAGAACTTTGAGAGGGACTGCCCACTGTGAAGGAGCCCTGTTGGTCCAACAGTTAAGTGGTCAGCCGCTAAATGAAAGGTTGGCATTCTGAACCCACCAGAGGTCTCTGCAGGAGAAACATCTGGTGCTTTGTTTCCATAAAGAACAGCTTAGGGCACTCAGGGTCAAGCTCTAGACTGCCACATGACGTAGCTAGGCATTGAGAATAAACTTGATAGCATGCAAAACCTTCACCATCATAATAGACAAGCATTATAAAAATGTTTTAAATTTAAAAAGAAATTAATTTTAAAAATTTCAGCAGAAACCTTTAAATTCACAGACAGATCTCAACCTATAAAATGAAAGATGAGTAATGGAAAAGATCTCAACCTATAAAATGATAAATTCAACTGCCAAGTTTTCTCATTAATAGACTATCCAGGGCTTAATAAGGTCTCTGGTGGTGTTGTCTGTAACAAGCTGGGCTGCTAACATGAAGGTGGCCCTTTTCTGGTGGCTGGGATCCATCAGCAAAGGTGGGGGAGAAATCTCTTGTGATTTATACAGAGCTCCTGAAAACCTGCTGGAAAATCAGCTATGAGTTGGTTTTGATTTGACAGCAATGAGAAAGAGCTTAGTAAAAAAGGAACCTAAAAACAAAGAAACAAAACCTGTACTAGATGGGGGGAGGGGGAGGGGTACACATACCATCATGTCTGGCTTGACAGGAAGAAAAAGGTTAAAACCGCTTATTATTCAGAAGCCTACTTCATATAAAGCTGTAGGTTATACGGTCTGGACACTGGAAGTTAAGTTAACACCATTCTGAAGGAAGATCAGCCAAATGCAACAAGGCAGATGTGCACTGGTATCTACTGATCACTCATTTAGTGCAGCCCTTTTTATCTTTATCTTTCCATCTGAAAGTTCTGGGCCTGGAACATGAGAAAGCTTAAGAGACAGGTATTTGTATTTCTTTTCTTTTGGCCTTGATACAACATGATGAAAGTGTATCATGTTGACAAGAGTCCAGAATGAAGGCTGCATAATGGTGTGGACTTGGGGGGGGGGCGGATTGTATACCAATGAAAGAATTTTTCTTTTACTTTTCAAAGAAAAGAGTGAACTGGGGGGGGAGGCGTGGGCAGGAAGAAAAATGCAACAATGAATATATGGAAATTAAAAAAAAATAGAAAACAGTGTATCACGTTAAGTCTCATTAAATGTTTGAACTCTTATCACCTGATTTTGTTTCTATTGAGATTATACTCTTATGTTTTGATATAGTGTAAAATTATAATTATTTCATAAGAAATCTTTATAAGCTCAAGGCTGCTAAAACAGTATCTATTTTTGTATGTAAGAATACATGAGTTAAAAACTGCACACTACAGTAATGAATATATTGCTTTTATTATGCGCTGTCAAGTTGCTTGCAACTCCTAAAACAGCCCTAAGCCCTGCTCTATCCTTCACCAATTTTATTTTCTCCAACACACCAACCCCCATTACCCCAGTCACTGAATCAATCCATCTCCTCGAGAGTCTTCCTCTCTTGTGCTGCCCCTTCACCCTCCCAAGCATGATGTCCCTCTCCAAGGTCTGGTCCCTCCTTGCAGCAAGTCCAAAGTATGTCAGATGAAGCTTCAGAATCCCTGCCCCAAAGGAACTGCCTGATTTCACTTCCTCTAGGAGAAACCCGTTTGTTCTCCTAGCAATCCATGGTATGAATATATTAGAGGCACTTTTATACCATCCTCTGTAATAAAATCCATCCAACAAGACAGCCACTGTGTTTGAGAGGAAAAAAGAACACAAACCAACTAAGAACCAAGTAAATCATCTTAAGGTTTCTGAAAGTTGGCAGACTAACACTGTTAAGAAAACACGTTCATGAAAAGGAAAAGATATGGGACCCTGACTCTGCTATGGCATTTGGAGAGTATAGAGTGTCTTTAAGTACAAGGAATATCAACATGGCAAGACAGTAACAGCATTCTGAAAATGACCTTTTGGTTTAAGATACAGATAGCTGTTGATTGCAACATGCTATTAAATTGGTGCTAATTAACAGTAACCCCAAAAGAAGAAAATGCCATCTAGTCTTATCCCAGCTTCACAACTGTGGCGTCCTTGAGTCCACTGCTGCGGCCACCTGTGTATTTGTGTGCTTCACTGTCCAGCACTAACTGTGGGAAATGATGCTCTCTGGTAAACTCAGAAGTAGAACTGTCAAGTTTTTCTTCACAATCTTAGTCTGGAAGCTCTGTGGAAACGCGTACAGCATGATTTTGCTGGTCTGTAGCACCACTGGCCTAGCTTCTCACATCACAACAGCGTGCAAGCCACCACAGTATGACAAAGGACATACCGATGGTGGGTAAGGGTTAATTTTACACCTGAAGGCTTAAATAAGAATAATTATTCTTTTTTTCTTTAGTGGTTTGCTTACATATTTCGTATACATTGTGTTTCACACTATTCTTCATTCATATTGTGTTTTACACATTCTCATGCATTATTTAATCACCACTGGCTGAGTAATTTTTTTAAAAATTAATTACTTTTTAATTTTAATTATCTATTAATAGAAATATAGTAGGCGGGAATAATCCCTCAGCTAAATTCTACTTTGCTTTCCCGCTAATTTTTGGAGAAGGGAAAGGTAAAGAGGAAATAATTTCATCCTCACAACAATCTACTGAAGCATGTTGCTTTATTACCAATAACGGAACTGAGGGTCAGTGTGCTCCTGACTGACTTCTTTAACGTCACACTAACTTGAAGTGGGAGAGCCACACTTTGAAACACTGTCCTGTTTCTCCATCTGTCATCATCTTTTCTCCTGTAACTTTCCTTCTGCCTTTTTTTTTTAGTATGTCCCCAAAATACACTCACATTTCACCTGTGGCTTGTGCGTCCCTCAACAGTGGGGACACTGCTCATCTTACGCTTCCATTTTCTTATTCTGAGGCTTAGACAAAGTGGTGTTCTTTCCTGGACCAGTGAAAGTGCCCTTCAACGGTGGACCAGCACATGCTAGGCCAACTGCTCCCTCTTCCCCTCACTATCATTGATTCTTCAAGTCCCATCTGAGATGTCATTTCCTCACAGAAGCCTCTCTCGCATTCTGAGTAGTCAAATTCTCAGAACAAATAGCATTTCTCTTTTCTAGCACTGATATTTTAGCTTTAACTAAGTATTAATATTGTAACCAGCTGCTTTATTATCTTCTGTTAGAATGAAAGCTGTATGGAGGTAGAAATTGTGTCTGCTTGATTGCACCATTAATACCAAGTATTACGTCAATATAATATAAAGTCAAATGATTGCTTTCAAGTCAGAACCAATCTGAAGCTGTTTCTCCAGCCACTTCTCAGAGGCTGCCAGTCACAGGGAAGAGAACTGCTCAACTTTCTCCTGTGGAGCACCTGACACATTTGTACCACCAGCCTTTGGGTGGCTGAGGAAGAGGAGGCTAGAGCTCCATAAGGAATCAAGGAGATAACCTACAATATAACCAAGTAAGTATATTCCCAGAGTGCAATGATCACCTAGAAATACAAACCTTATTGTTAATCCTCCAGGGAATTCTTCATCAAATAACACTTCAAATAGTACATCAGCTTCTCTATTAGCTGTTGGGGAAAGGAAGGGGAGAAGATTTAAAACACATGATGAAAAATCAGTGATAAATTTCAAAGTGCTCTAAAGCATTTATGTTAAAAATTTCTATAAGATACTCTGGACATGAAAAATGGCATCATCATAATATAATGAGTATCACTGAGGACAGAAACAGAAATCCAATTTTCTAAACTGTTGTGTTCTGAATGTCCTGAAAGTAGGTAAGGTAACCACTATCTTCAACTTAGTATATGATTCCTAAACATTTCTTTATTCTTTTGTTACAAATGAACATATTCCTAAAAAATATGCAATATTGCTTTACAAACTTTCAAACTTATATATGTGATATAAAGAATATTTCTACTAATTTTCTTCTATTTCTTGTATTCTTCTTATATGTTTTTTATAATTTTTATTTGTTTCAAATACTTTTTTGTGCAATTCACTCATTTGAATATTCTGATTTCTGGATGTGGTAATTTAATATATTGAAACACCATTCAATTTACCATTCTCCTGCTTATGAACTTTAAAGTTGTTTCTAATTTTTGATACTACAAACACTATCATGAACAACCGATAAAAGCATCTTTAACAAATCTGCGTCATTGGGGTATAACTGACATACCATAAACTGACAATATTTACTTAATTTGATGAGTTTTAACTTACACATATATAACCATGAAATCACTGCAGTTAAGTTATATCACTCCTCACATGATTTTTGTAATCTACCCCTTCTTTCTTCAGACAGCCACTTTGTCACTATACGTTAGTCTTCATTTGTAAAATTTTATATAACTAAAATAATACAGTATCTCTATAGTTCTGGATTTTTGGATTCAGCATCTTTTAAGTCATTCATGCTGTGCATATTGGTGGGTTTTTTAAATTTTGGAGGAATACATTGTAAGAATGTTGTTGTGTTGTTATGTGCCGTCGAGTCGCCTGCGACTCATAGCGACCCTATGTACAACAGCCCTAAACTCCGCTCTGTCCTGTGCCAATCGCACTGTCTCTGACACGACCATCCCAATTATCCCAGTCACTGAATCAATCCACCTCAGAGAGAGCCTTCCTCTCCTGCGCCGTCCGTCCCTCCACCCTCCCAAGCATGATGTCCCTCTCTAAGGACCGGTCTCTTCTCACAACATGTCTAAAGTAAGTTAGACGGAGCCTCAGAATCCTTGCCTCCAAGGAGCCACCCGGTTTAACCCTCTCCAGGACAAATCTGTTTGTTTTCCTAGCAGTCCATGGTATTCTCAATACTCTTCTCCAGCACCACAGCTCAAAGGCATCAATTCTCCTTCTATCCTCCTTGGTCATTGTCCAACTCTCTGATGCATAACAGGTGATTGCGAAGACCATGGCCTGTATCAGATGCACCTTAGTCTCCAGAGAGACACCACTGCTCTTCAGCACTTTGGAGAGGTCCCTAACAGCAGACTTTCCCGTGGCAATGCGCATTTTAATTTCCTGGCTGCTGGTGCCAAGACTGTTGACTATGGAGCCAAGCAAACTAAAGCTGTGTACAATCTCAATCTCTTCACCATCCATCCTGATGCTGCCAATTGGTCCAGTGGTGAGAATCTTTGTCTTCTTGACGTTGAGCCTCAATCCATATTGTAGGCTGCAGTCCTTGACACTCTGCAGCAGGCGCAACAATTTATTTATTCATTCACCTGCTGCTGGTCATCTGAATTGTTGGCAGGGTTTTTTTTGCTATTACAGGTAATGAGGTTTTGAAGATTCATGAAGAAGCCCCTATAAGGACATATGCATTTGTTTCTCTTGGGTAAAATACTTTGAATGGAACAGCTGAGTCTCATAATAGACTAACATTTAACGTTTTAAGAACCTGCTAAACATTTTGTAAAGTGGTTGCGTCATTTTACGTTTTCATTAGAGTGCATGCACATTATATTTGCTGACAGTATCACTCCTTGTTAACAATTAGTATATTCAACTTTTGTAAGAGGCAAAGACGGTGAAACTTTGTCTCACACACTTTAGGAAAGCTGTCTCGAGGTGCTAGTCCTTGGACAAAGTCACATTTGGAAAAGCAGAGGGTCAGCAGAAAAGAAGATAATCCTCAAGAAAAAGGATTACACAGTAACCACAGCCAGGGCTTGATAACAGCACCTCATCACAACCAGATTCTCTGGATTAGATGTACATTTGGGAACAAGTCTGTCTATTCCAAAATAATCTGGTTACTAGGATTTAGAATGAGGCTACTTTGAATATATGAATCAAAGCAAATGAATGACATCTTAACAACACTGAGACTTCTGATTCATGAATTAAGTACATTTCTTCATTAATTTAGGAGGTCTTTGTCTCGGCAATGTATTACCCTTTTCAGTACAATGGTATTTCACATGTGTTGTTAAATTTATACCTTAAGTGTTTAATACTTTTAAATGTTAGTATAAAAGGTATTTAAAAAATATTCATTTCTAACTGTTCATTGATAGTTTAAGGAAGCAAGAATTATACAGTGGTAAGAAGCTGTGCTGCAATCTCAAAGGCACATGGTTCAAATCTACCAGCTGCTCTGCAGGAGGGTGGGAACTCTCCTGTGAGATTCACTGGCTCTGAAAATCTGCTGGAGGGTCAGCTATGAGTTGTTTCTGACTTGATGGTACATAACAATATATAAAAACATAATTGATTTTTGTATATTGATAATATATCCTGAGACTTTGATAAAGTTACTAGTAGTCTAGTAGTTTAAAGTTACTGGATATTACTATAGGAGTTATGCAAATTTTCATTCTATCCTAAGCAACCTTGATATTTCAAGAAGTTGGTGATTTTTACTAAAATCTCCCATGATTTTAAGCTAGATATGTGAAACTGCTTATTTCTATTATGCCTTTATGATTATAGTTAAAACACCTACATATAACATTACTTTTATCTTGGGAGTTCATTTTGGAGGCATTACTTTCATATGGGGAGACAGATTTCTGTAACCTAAATGGAATAATTTCTCAGATAAATTTGTTTTGTAGAAATAATGAAGTCTCATTTAAAAATTCAAATTAACATGCAAATTTAATTTTTGATTACTTTAACTGTAATCAATGTTATGTATCACATTTGTTTTTCTGCAGAAGCCAAAGAGATTACAGTAAAAAAATCAAGGTAAATCTCTAATTAAAAGTCAATAAGGGCTTCCTGCCCATATTTCATTTTAGGGGAAAGGCCCATCTCTTTGGGAATATAGCTTTCTTTTTCTTTTATTTTTTTAGATTTTAATGAAAGTTTATAAAGAACTTGGATTTCCATTCATTCATTGTTGCACATTTTTCTTCCTCTCCTTTCCCCCCAC